TGCGATCAAAATGAAGAGGTCTCGTTGTTTTGCACAGATTTTAAAGGAGATGATTTAGAAGAAAGTGGTGGCTTACCGACGAAATGTAGCATATGTGAAAAGTCTTTCCGAGATCCTGTCATACTTAATTGCCTTCACATCTTTGATCGGGAATGCCTGGGGAAATTTGAGAAAAACGACGGAATAGTTTCGTTTATAAAGTGCCCCAAATGCGAAAACACCTCTGGAGGTTTAAAAACCCTTGAATCTTACGACACATCGATTATTGTCACCGGCGTTAGAGCTGGCGAAAATTCGATTGGTACTAAGAGCGTTCTTTGTTCAGTTTGCACTGAGGGAGGTGAAGCTCTTTATAAATGCATTCAATGTGCCGGACCTTTGTGCGAAAGGTGCCGGGATATTCATAAGGTTTTTGGAATTTAGTTTAACTTTTTGAAGGTGATGAAGGTATTCTCGACGCACGAGGTTCTTGATTTAACGAATGAAGAGCGATGCGATCCAAAGGTACTTTATAGAAATATGAAAAATTCGAAGCCCGTTATTTGCCCTTGTCATGATGACGTACCTTACTCTTTGTTTTGCATGCAGTGCCATGTAAGTTAAACTTTTTTTAATAGATGTAGGTTCCCCTTTGCATTGAATGCCTTGAGTCCGATCACAGGAATCATATCACCGCGCCAATTGATACAGTTGCTCATCATCTAGATCCATTGCTTTCCAGCATAATTGCAATTTGTAAAAAGAAACAAAGTTCTCTTCATGATGTATCACAAGCCCTTCACAACTCACTTTCAGAGTTGAGCTCTTCTAGGGACAATACTAAAAACCAGGTAGAAAATCTTTGCAATGCCTGGAAAACTGCAATTGATGCCGTAAGGGAAGATTACTTACGCAGAAACAGGGATATACATGATGATATTGAAATGAAGATATGGTGTCGCGTAAATCATATTAGCAAAAATATTGATCACATTGATTTTGCAACTGAATTCTCGAATTCCTACCTCAGAAAATGCTCAAATTTGGAAATGAGTAGACTCGCAAAAGTAGTTTTAGCTTGCTTTAATTCTTTGAGCAAAATTAACTTTTCTCCGGACATACCCTCGCGGGTGCTGTTTACTGAGCCTTCGATTTGCATTTCTGATATTATACGCATGAATTTCGGTACATTTAGCCATCCTAATCTGGATAATGGCAATTCCCATATCGAGAATGGTGCTGCAGGCTGCCTGCCTCACTCCAACTATCTTCAATCTACTAATGATGTTTCAGAGGAATTGAAGTGTCTTAATCTCAAACTCGACAATGATTTTGCCCATGAATTTCACAACCTCAATACTCGCGTTGATGGCATCAATATTAGTCCTACAGGGAGCCACCATTCGGGCCGTGCTGCAGTGGCATTGGGCAATGGCTCTATTGATCCGCTTCTAACTCGTCCTGATGCCTTAGCGCTTGTATCTGGGCCAACAACATGGGACGAATTGAGTTCTGGTCTTTCATCCATTGATCCCTCAGCTTCCGGCCTGACTCCTGATTTTCTAAGCTCTACTTTATTGGCAAATAATTTTACTCAATCAAACCACATGGCAGGAACTCTTCACAGCTTGGATGGAGATGCTTTGTCTCAGAAGCCGAAGGTTTCGACCCATAGTTCGGCACTTTACGAATATTCTCGGATGCGTACGGCTAGGTGTTCTCAGATGAATTTAATCACTAAATGGGGATCACAAGGTAGTGAGCTCGGAAAACTAAATGCTCCTCACGGCTTTTGCCTTGGCTTTGATGAAGAAATCGTTGTTGCAGACACCTATAACCACCGTATACAGGTAATTCTATTGGTGTTTTCCTAATTGGTTTAGATATTTACTAAACGTGGTGATTTCGTTTGTTGCTTCGGTGTTTCCGGGCGAAGCGACGGACTTTTGTGGTACCCTCGGAAAGTGGCTATTATTCGTCAAAGTCAGCGTTATGTTGTCTGTGATAGGGGTAGTGAAAGATCTCGTATGCAGCTATTCAGCAGAAGTGGTCATTTTGTAAGAAGAATCCCTATTCGATACATCGATATTGTGGCTGGATTAGCTATTAATCAGCATGGTATGTCGTCTTTATTATTGTGATTTCTAGGACATATCGTCGCCATCGATAGTGTATCACCTTCAGTATTTGTCGTTTCGGAAGAGGGTGATCTAATTCGATGGTTCGATTGCAGTAATCATATGCGCGAACCATCTGATGTTGCGATTCACGGTCGCGAGTATTATATATGTGATTTTAAGGTAAGCCGGATTTATCATTAAATTATTCCTTTTACAATACAATATAATTTGTAATCTTCTATGTTACTTAAGGCCCATTGCGTCATCGTGTTCCAAGAAGATGGGACCTTCATTCGTCGAATCGGTGGTGAGACTTTGACTGATTATCCCAATGGTATTGATGTTAGCGACCATGGAGACGTTCTAGTTGGTGATTCCCATGGTAACCGATTCCATATTGCTGTATTTAGCCGTACTGGAGAACTTTTAAGTGAGTTTGTTTGCAACCAGACGAAGATAAGTCGCTCTTGCTGCTTGAAAATCACAACTGAAGGTTACGTTGTGACCCTTGCTCGTAGCTCAAATACTGTTCTCGTGATGGATACACTTTACATATGCTGAACTCATCAGGTGTCCCTATTGGCTCCACGGCTCAGCTGCTTAAGCCTATTGAATCTTCCATCCTTTTACACCCATGTTGCCGCCGTGCTTTGAGATTGACGATTCCTCCATGTTTTGAATCGTGTCACAACCTTGAACCATCAAGCTCTTCCATCCATTGAGAATGTGCTGGGTGTACAAAATATTTTCTTGTTGTATTTAACTTTATCCTAAATTCTATTTGTATTAACATATTTCCTGTTTGGGCCGAGGCCGACCTATTTGGTGGCTCGGTGTAAAATCAAAAAAAATACTAAGTCAAATTTACTATTTAATATGCTGCGTCCTGTTGGTCTTGGGCGCTCGTGATAATTTATTCCTTTGAGAAGACATGTACTCTGTGAATTTTCTTCCGATTTTCACTTTTGTAAGTCGTGACATCGTTTTCGTTTAATAATTTTTATCGTATAAACTAAACCTTTCATTGGATGTTTGAGTTACCTCAGCTCCGATAAAATTTCAAAACATCGAAAAAAATCACATTTTCCACTGGCCATTTTCTTTCATACAGTCATAGAAATTGCATAAACATTGGCATTTTATTCTAACTCTTTCCCCAGTATTTTTCAGCAATATTTTTTGAGATTTTAATTTTTGTTTTGGTGTTATTGCCCTTATCGTATTTTCACTACGCCTTGAGTTTCTTTGGTTTTCCTTCACAAATATCTGTTGGCTATTTATACAATTTAATCATGCTTTTGAATGATCTTGTCCCAATTTCCACGATATCCTCTCTATGCACCTTAAAACCCTCATCTCGTGCTATGCCACAATGACTTGCTAACAGATTACCACAATGATTTTCATTCTGCGTTTTATTGCCAATGTTTGGCTTTCCTTCGAACTATATTTCCAGTTTTTTGGATGAAGTTTGTGCCTTTGCAATATCTATTGTTTTATCAGGAACATGACATTAGATTACGTTTCTTTTCCAAAATGGCCGACAGTTACGTCCGGTTTCTAATTCTAACCGGTAAACGGTCAGACCGGTATCTTTTATGACCATTCATCTCTAAGCCTACATTTATTAGTATTTTGCTCAGCTATTGACTAGAATTCTTATTTTAACTGTTAATTGCAATTCTGCTCAACGAGGTATGTGATTACTGTGCGTTGGCTCGTGTTTCAAGTACTTTCATTGTAAATTTTGCCCTTGATTCCAGGTTATTCACCAATAGTAAGTGCATTTTAACGTTTTGCTCTTTGGATTTAACTTTTTACTGGGAATTTTTCTCCCCTTATGTGCCATTTTGACGAGTTGCGTTGTCTTACTTTCTGTCTACATATTTGCATCAACCCTTTCTTCCCAGTTTTTCTTGTAAAAACTACTCTTAGTTGCCATAAGCTTTTTGACTTAATGGCGGGCAAGTGGGTCTTAAATACCACTACTCGAGGTTTAACTAGTTCTTATCCGGCCAAACAGTGTTACTTAATTATTTGCATGTACCGTACATACATAGGATTGTCTGCATATTTGCATGTCAGTGTGTCTGTGGTGTATATAAATACGAGCAAGCCTGCAGTTGCATTCCGTATTTTCTACCCTTCCCTGTTGTCCCTTTACTGCAGTGCCTTTTACCCGCCCAACCCAAAGCTTCCACTCAGAATGCTTGTCTGTGCCTCTGCAGGCTGTGTCCATTCTCACCTTCCGCATCATTTTAGTCGATCTCCTCGACGCGGCTTGCGCCTCACCAACAGCTCCGTCGCTCGATTGTATCTGCCCTGTCTTAGCGAACGCTAGTCTATTAACCATATTGTTCCAGATCACCATTTTCTCCTATCGATGCACAGATTTTATGATGGAAACTTTATCATTGAAACTCATGTACACTTATTTAATGTTTCAGACCCACCGACAATGATTAGTGAATTGATTTTTAGCATTTCTTTGTTATTACACATTTATTGCTATTATTATTGTTATTGATGAAACAATCTACTTAAAGTAGTAATAATCTTAACACAACTATTTAACCAAAGCATGCTTTTCGAGACCGTGACGCTCGAAGATGCGTCCCTGGTTGGTTCCTACAGGTCTCATTTTGGCAATAAATTTATGATTCCATTTTGAGCTTTTGCTATTTCACTTTACGAAAAAAATTTTGTCATTTTGCCCTTAGATGCTACTTGTTTATTGACTTATTTTGAAGTTTATCTTGTATTCCTTGCATATTCGTTTAAATATATAATATAGATTCATCCTTTTTCTCTTTTCCTACTTGGATCAAAAGCTGTCTACTAAAGAATTTACTTTATTTGGGTTCCATTTGTTTTTCAATTTGTTTCAAGTCTCTTAGAATGGTCTCATCCTCGGGATCCAGTTTCATTGCCTCTTTATATTCGACGTGGCCTGAAATATAAACAATTTAAAAGTATGACTGATTTGCATTCCTGAAATTATCTCAGCTTTACAATACACTTACCCTCGTTGTACATCTCTAAACTGCAAAATGCTGCTCCCCTCCGAAGATGTGCTTTTAGTCTTGCTTGTTTATTTTGTGGTACTGGTGGATGTAGTAAGTCGAGAGCCTTCGAACTATCTTCCAGTGCTTTGAAGAAGTTTCTCAGTTGTAGGTGGCATGCTGCTCTGTTTGAGTACAGCCTTTAAGTTTATTTGGGTTATGTTAAGGTAATATCGACGGTGTTCTCGACTCAACTTATAAAAGGATACGAATAAACCGCAGGACATCTTTTAATCGCCTCGTCGTACGCACTCAATGC